TTTAAATAGCCACATGTATCTAGCTGATGCCATGAGACTAGAGGTTTTAAAGCATGAAACATATGACAGAGTTAAGGATGTTTGTACCATATACCCATGGGCAGGATCATATGTACTCCCATCCAGGAATAGATCCCAATTCATGGCAAGATATTCTTCTCCTGGCTCAAATTAAACCCAAAGTCTAAATCAATATGAATGGAATGTGTTGATTCTGGGTATATCATGGAATGGAAATGTCAAGAGATATAGCTGAAGAGGTGATCATTGTACTGGGGCCCACCTCCTAAAACAGACTAAGGAGTTTGGGCTTTAGCTCAAGAGCAAAGACAAAAGTATGGCCAAGCTTTCATGGCAGCCCAGAAGAGGGAATCCTTGATATCACCCAGAGCTAGCAGGGAAGGCAACCAGGGGAGGTAACATTTGAGCTGTGTCTATAAGGACGAATAGAGCTTCACCGGGAAACCAAATCAGGGAAGAATTCCAGGAAAAGGGAACAGCATGTGCCAAAGAAAAAGGCAAAAAATGAGAAGGTGAAGAGCAGTAAGTGTGTGGCAGAGAGCAGGGAAAGTGAGACTCTAAGAAGCCTAGGGATGCATAACCTCAACAAAGGACAGTAAAGACAAAACACAGTGGTGACTATGCATCCTCTCATTTCAAAGGATAACAGGCATTATTATTGAGAAGATGGTTTTTGTTTTGTTTTGTTTTGGGGGTTTTGTTTTGTTTTGTTTTGTTTGAGAAGTGGCCCCAAACAGGACCACTGCATACAGTTATGGAGGTTGCACACTGCTCAACTCCAGGAGCAGCTGTTTGCATAAACACAATGTAAGTGGCATCCCATGAAGTTGTATGCTGTACCTATTCTGCCCCATTTCATTTTTGTTCTGTTAAAATGCTTTGGTTTCTGGTCAAGAAAATCCCCTGAGAATGGGAACTTCAGACAGGTGACATCTAGACAATGAGCCCCAATCCCTGCAACTTCAGTTTCCTGATCACCAAATGGGATGAAGAATTACAGGTCTCCCATATGCCAGGTATGGTTCTGATGCTTTAAATGTGACATCTTGTATTTCTGATAGCAGTGCCATGAGAAAGAAAGCATTCCTGCATTTTCCTCTTAGGAAATGGAGCTGAGACATTAAGATAGTGTAGGTAGAAACTGTTAGAGCCAATATACTCACCCAGTCTGGTCTAAGTCTTAGATCCATGTTCTGGCCATTATTTGATGATTCCCTGACAGTGTTAAGGGGAATCCATTAGTCAGTTTCAATATTTTACAACCCTACTGGAAATCACTTACTTGCTTGTGATTAGGACACACATACATTCAGCATCACAGGGCTTTGATGTGGCTAAAATTATATCAACTTACTGTGGCAAGACTAGAATCTCACGCTGATTAGAACCTCTCCTTGGCAGCAGTATCTGCCTTAGATTCATTAGAAACTGAAACTAACTGCTTTAAAATTTTCATTTATTTGGCATCTTATCAAAATACAACTACCCAGCGGAAGAGTAATAAAAATGGGTCCTTGGTGGTACATCTACCACATCTTGCCTGGAATCATAATTATGTCTGCATATCTGTATACCACCCTCAGTTGACCCACAAGAAGCTCACTCATATTCTCTATGTTAATTCTCGACACATCTAGGTCTCCCCAACCAATCTAATCCACTCAGTGGCTTTACTTATCACACATATGCTAGTTATGGCCAAGTCTCTTTCTCTTAAACCACTTCATAGCGCCTAATACCTACATCCAGCTACCTGTGGGATTCCTATGCCTCACTGTCCCATGGCCCCTTTGGACTTACTATGCCCAAGACCATACATATCCCCTCTTCACAACTTCTTGTTTTTCCTCTTGTGTGTCCTTTCTCACTGAATAGGACCACCCCCCACATGGTCACCTAAGCCAAGAACCTCGTAGTAGCCAGCTCCTATCTTCCCTCCCATCCATCTAGTCACTCCTAAATTTATCTGTTAGGATTAAGATCAGCTGCCTGTAACAGAAAACCTAAACAACAAACAAATAAGAATAATAATTTAAATAACTCAGCTGTTTATCTCTCCCATAAAAAAAGTCCAGAGGTAGGATGTCTGAGCTGCATATGCTGGCATAATGGCCGTCAGGGATCCAAGACCCCTCGTTCTGCTCACCAAATAGGTTGCAACTTCCATCTTAATGTCACCTCACAGCTCAAGAGGGCTCCTAGAGTACCACCATCATGTCTATGGTGTAGGGTAGCGGAAGGAAAGGGCTATAGGATAGAGTGAGAGGGGGAATTTCTGGCAAATTTAACTACCTTTAATCAGCCTTCCTCCATATTTCACATTACACTCCTTCTGATGTTCTTTGCCCATATCTTAGAGCTTGGAGAGACTAGTGAATATAGTCTTTTAGCTGGATACCTGCTGTCCCATAACAATGAGGTTATGCTATTAAGGCAGAGAGGGGGAACAGATCTAGGGACACAAATAGCTGTCTCTGCCATCCCAAGTGTCACAGCTTCTCCTCATTTTAGATTTAACATACCTGCCTGCTTCTCTACATCACACCATTGTTGTTCTAGTTGAGGCCCAACCCCAGAGGAATAGCAACTTAAATTTGACAACCGGAAAAATTTGCACAGAGCAAGGAAAACAATCTTTATCCAACTTAAGACTGGCTTTTTCCAATTTACCTCCTCCCCTCCGCCTGCAAAAAGCTTAGTTCAGAGGGAACAATGATGTAAGAAGGACTAATGTTTCTACCTGCCCCTCCATTTAATAGCAAGAGATTCTGCATGGCAGACAGGAGAGAGGGCTAGGAAGGAAAATGTGCATTATGATAAATAATTGATGTTAATACCAACAACCAAGACAAAAATGGTGATAAATGACACAGAGAGAAGCAAGGAAATTGTTCAGCTGTGATTATCTTGATTTCAAGCAGATTGACTCTATAATCATCCAACACAGTTTCATCAGGAATTTCATCAATGTCGACACTCCTAGGCTGCCAGTCTTCACTGTTTACTACCAGTGTGTGTCTTAGTAATATGAGCTCGCTTTCCATCCATTACCTAGTTCACAAGGGTTGTCCATCTGTCATTATCTGGAGACAAAAATGAAACATTATAATGAGTTTTGTGCTTCTCCTCTACCTCTACATTCCCATAGAACCTCCCTTTAACTCTCTTTACCCCTCTATCTAGCCCTGCCTGTGCCTGGCCCATAGTATCCCCCCAAATTATTATTGCACTAAACTAAACACAATTGATTCCATGGATTATTAATTCTTACTTGTATTATGTAGTCAAATGAGCAGTCAGCAGGTCACAGAATTCAGCCCATCACTCTGTGAGTCCACACTGCCTTTGTCCTAATATAGTCAATAAAGCAGAGCACTGTCTCAACTTCCCAGGGTCAAGTCTAGGTACCATGAGGCTTAGGCCAACCAACTCACCTCCTATTTCCTTATCTGCTAAATGGAAATAATAATATGGGTCTCACTCTATTTTTTTGAGGAATAAGTTGAAATAATCTATGGTAATTGGCAAGTACAATTTACAATTCTTAGGAAAAGGTAGTACACCTACCCTCATCCCCAAAATACACACACTTTTTCCAGATGGTATTTAAAATATTTTAGACCTTAAATGAAGCTAACCATAAATATGATGAAAGTAATAACTACTGTTTATTGAATTAAGTTACACACATTATCTGACTTAAACTTCACAACAAAGTTGAAAGAGAGTGTACCACTCTGAGAAAAGGGAGCTCAGGGTTGTCAAGGTCACAAGTGGAAGAGTCTAGAACTAATCCTGTGTTTATCTTATTAGAAACATTCAAGAGTGGCCAATAAACATAGAATTTGGGCAAGATTGGAGAACATTTAAGTTCCCTTTCCAACTTGTATCCCAATTCTGGAATCTAATTTTTGTCACAAGAAACTATATTCCATGGTGTAGGGGTTAAGGCAGCCCCCATGAAGACACTCGCAGTATGGCATGGTAGAAACAGCATAGACTTGGGAACCAGTGTGTGTGTGTGTGTGTGTGTGTGTGTGTGTGTGTGTGATTTTCATATCCTGACTCAGACTTATATTTGAGAAGTGGGGAGAGGGAGTGTTGTCTTATAATGGAACAGAAATGAGTCCATTTTTTGAACACTTACTTTGTGCCAGACATTGTACTAACAGTTTTATCTCTATAACCTGCAAACCTGCCAGCAAACCTGTGAAGTTGGTTTTATACGATCTTCATTTTATGGTTGAGAAACAAGACTTAGAGACATTGAATATATATCCAGGGTTCAAAGACTGATTTGTTAATACCAAAGCCCCCACCCCCCCTTTTTTTTTTTGACAATATCTATGGGGAATTGAAATACAATATTTGAGTGGCAGATTACAAAACATAGCCTACCTAATCCATTATGGTGGTTTTAAAATATGTCCCCCAATTCTATGATACTCCTCCCTTCAAATGGTGAAGTTTAATTCCCCGCCCCTTGAGTATGGGCTGTATCAGTGACTCATTTCACACTGGGAGAAGACAGCTGACATAGTGTGATGACACTTAAGCAGCCTTATGGAGATGCCCACGTAGTGAGAAATTGAGACTTCTGACCAACAACTGGCAAGGAACTGTGGCCTTCCCAATTGCCATGTGAGTGAGCTATCAAGAATCAAGAATCAAGCCAGGGAGTTCTGTTTGTCTTACACTACTCTGCCTTGTGATTGTCCATGGAAGAACCATTTCCCCTCAATCTGCAGGAAATCATAATTGGAGAGAAACACCCACCATTCTATAGCATAAAACACAAGTAGAGATGTCTTCCATGAAGAATCTGCAGTGTGTCACAATGGAAACAGAGTGGATTCAGAAATCATGGAGTTCCAGATCTACCATTGGCACAATGGACACATTTTTTTTTTTTTTTTTTTAGGACACAAAGTTTGCTTTAAATATTTTTTTGGGGGAAAGGACACCACACTTCTATTCAATTGAGAGAAACATTTTTACGGTCTTGAGGTCTTTTATTTTCTTTACATTTATCATGCCATGAATTCATAGGGAATGGGTTCCAGCAGTTCGGGCTCCTTTCCATTAGTTCTCACAAAGTGTGCTTCTCTGGGTGGGGCAGGCCGGCGCTTCAGTTGAACCCAAGTACCTTTCTCTTTGTCTTCCTTCTTTTTCTGGTCATTTTCCTTCACACGCTTCAGGAAGCTGTCTCGGCTCTTTGAATGTTTAATATGCTCAATGCGTACATTAATTCTCTTGGCAAGAATCTTGCCCTTAACTTGTTTGTTTACAACAATGCCAACAGCATGCTGAGTAACATTGTAGACTCTTCCAGTTTTGCCATGGTAACATTTGTGGGGCATTCCTTTTTGAACAGTGCCCATTCCCTTGATGTCCACAATATCACCTTTTTTATAGATTCGCATGTATGTGGCCAAAGGAACAACTCCATGTTTTCTGAAAGGTCTAGAGAACATATAGCGAGTATCTCTCCTCTTTCCCTTTGTGTTGGTCATTTTGGCGAATTACTGGAAGATGGCGGTTCCGGCCGAAAGGAATGGACACATTATTTAACTCCTCTAAATCTTGGCATTCTCATCTTCAAAGTGGGGATAATAACTCCCAGTTCACAAGGTGATTATAATGATTTTAAAAGATCATTTATGGAGAGCTTTATTCTTCAACAAACACTGAAAGATGCTTTAGGCACTGTGTTCATTACTGATGTGGATAAGACACATAGAGCCATACCCTCACAGAGCTTTCAGAGGAAAATAAACATAATCAAGTAGTTATATTTTTAAAGTATGGCAAGTTGTATGGAACATGTTTGGTACTTAATAAATATTTGTTTTTTCCTCCCTTTGATCCTCTACTAGAGTCCCACTTAGTGGTGGTGGTGGTGGTAGGTTTTCTTCAAGACATCTCATTTATCATGAGACAATACCTCTTTGAACACTAAAAGCATGGCCACAGTCTCCCTCCATTTCCTGGCAGATTCCACAATAATTGGAAAATTAACTCTTCTCCATGATCCAATATACTTTATTTTTAAAAGAACATAATATTTATCTCCCAATTCATTAATGAGATTTGACATTAGAGTCATTATTCATAAAGAATAGTAGGAACTTAGGTCCACCCCATAATAATGGGCTTACCCACAGTCCTTGATCCAAGGAGGTACCCATAGTCACTCTGGACCTTCCCAGAAGGGCATGGAGGAGAGGCTGAAAAACACTTCTTTCCAAATTTGCTCTGAATCTACATCACCAAAAACTGACGCTCATTTTCCAATTGATGACTCAAATGGCAATAAAATCCTCAGGCTATTCTAAAGCCCAGTGGGGATTAGTGAGTAGGAGTACTGGCGGCCATCAAGGGACATGCTCAAAACTGCAGGGCTCTGCAGATGGTCTGTAAGTTAGAAGACCATCGTACATCTCTTGATGGCTTGGTTTTCTGCTGTTTGTCCATCGGTGACACCTTCATAGGAAATGGTGGCGCCATGGCCAGGAGATACAGTGGATGTCAGGAAACCTGCAATCTACGAACTAATGGGGTGGTCTTTGGTGAGTCACGTCTCCCCTTGTGGAGTTTCAGTTTTCTCAGACATAATGTAAAGGCAATGGATTCCACAACCTTTTTCCTGGATCTAAAGTAATATGATAATTGCCCCTTTTCAACAATGATTGCTACCACTTTGAGCATTCTTCCTCATGCACTGCTTTGGACTTTTTTTACATTGTTTTTCTAATCTTTAAACAAACCCAGAGATAAGTAGCTTTATCATGCTCACTTTATAGGTGCAAAAGGTTTGTTGAATAACCTCCCTAAAGTAAAAGGCAGGTCTGGAGTTTGGACTCAGCTCTGTTCTGCTCTAATCTAAGTGATCCTGGATTGCAGACTGACCAAATGACAAGTTATTCCAGAAATACTCAAAGAAAAGGCTGGTGTCATATACCACACATGGAAAAACAGAAAAGGTAACAATATTCAGTCAAAGGTATATTTTATTATGATTTTTTTTCACCTCTCATTTATCATTGAGGAATCCCAGGGAAGAGGCTTGGTATCTGTGGACTCAATTTGAAAATTTTAGTAATTCTTAAAATTAAATGGGTGCCAATTAGAATAAACAGGACACATTTAGCCTAAAAAGACTGCATATTTTGGGGTCGAGAGCACCTTGTCAGCTCCATGTCTAGCTCCAGTATAACCAGAAGGTCAGGATCCCCATTGAACCTTAGAGATTTTATTTTTCCTACAGAAATTGCTGAATGCCTGCTATGTGCCAAGTAGTATCTGTGCTTCCATGCATGCATATTTTATTATCTCCCCACATCTAACCAGTGAGTCGGGTACAATGAACCCTATTTTGCTGATGAGAAAAATAAGTCTCAGAAAAAAGGAAGAGATTTCTCAAGGTCATACTGCAAGTAAGAGGCAGTGAAAGAATGGACCCGAGACTCCTAGATTTCCTCATCACACCAATCCTGCCTTCAGGAGCATGCTGATCTCCCATAGCTTATTTGGAAAGGCCTCGTCCTCTCTCATTCATGAACAGGCAGCTCTATCCAACAAACCCAGAAGCAGACATAAAACAGAAGTGACGAAACCCAGGCAGGAAATAAGCAGAGTACTTTAGACATGGTTGTTGTCTAGAGTGGGGAACAGGAAAGTTCCTGACAATGTGAGCCTGAAAATAACAATGAGTAGCTGAAACTGGGAAGGAAGAATCTTCTCTGAAACTGCGTATTTTCTCAAGTCCCACCTATGATCAAAAACTAATCACAAAGAAGTGAAGACACCAACCTCCAGGAAATACCAGAGTTAAATTCATGCTGAAAAATCTCCTGGCATTAGGGAGAATATCAACATTTCTGGGAGAGTAAAACAAACCAAACAATTCAAAGGGATACATGAACCCCTATGTTTATAGCAGCATTATTTAAAATAGGCAAATTATGGAAGCCGCCCAAGTGTCCATTGATAGATGAATGGATGAGGAAGTTGTGATATATATACACACAATGGAATATTATTCAGCCATAAAAAAAGAATGAAATCTTGCCATTTGCAGTGACATGGATGGAGCTAGAGAGTATAGTGCTAAGTGAAATAAATCAGTCGAAGACAAATACCATGTGATTTCATTCATATATGGAATTTAAGAAACAAAACAAATGAGCAAGGGGAAAAAAGAGAGAGAGACAAGCCAAGAAACAGACTCTTTATTACAGACAACAAACTGATGGTTATCAGAGGGCAGATGGATGGGAGGATGAGGGAAATAGGTGATAGGGATTAAGGAGTACACTTGTCATGATGAGCATTGGGTCATATATGGAATTGTTGAATCACTATATAGTACACGTGAAACTAATATAACACTGTATGATAACTACATTGGAATTAAAATAAAATTTAAAAAAAAGAAAAACCAAACCAAGCAATAATGATGACAAAAAAAATCAGTGGAAAAAAAATTAAGAAAAGAAAGATCAGTGGACAATGGTTCAGCAGCAGATGGCACAGAGAAATAAGAGCCTTATTTTATTCAGGGCTTATTATATATAATCATTTAACTCCAGTACACACTCTATAAGGTAGGTGGTTAGGATTCCCAACTTGTGGATAGGGAAATTGTGCTGGTAATTCTTCATTTGCACCTCCGGATCTTTTCTCCACCCTTCTCCACTTGGCCCACACTCTAGGAGACTGACATTTATTGACTGTATCAATGAGCTCCTTGCCTTCTGGCTTCCAGTTGTGTTTAGTCGATGGGAGCCATCAGCAAGAAGATTGGAAGGTAGGAGAATGACAGCTGGCTCTTCATTGCTCCAACTCCTTTCCTGCTGGAACTTGGATTGGCAGCAATCTTCCATTGGAAGTTACAGCTCTCTCCAGGCAGCTCTTTCCCACAGCTATAACTACTTGCCAGATTCTGGTAAATGCTTCCTCTCCTTGCCCTCAATCCCAGGTGCAGAGTGTAAGTGGCTCTCTGCTGTCACCAGCTCTGAGATGCTTCACCATCCCTTGTGAGTGTCTCTTAGCTCTGTCTGCATCTTTGTAAACAGTCTTGTCTTTGAACTTCCTCAATTGTGGCTTTTAAGTGTACAGGCTGATTATTTTGGGAAGGACCCTGACTGATACGGAATCCAACATAGAAGGGTTAAGTGGCTGGCACAAAGTCACACAAATGGGGTGTTAGTTAAAGCAATGCTAGTTGCTATAAGATATAAACTCCTAAATCTCAGTGACTTCAATCGAGATACATAAATTTCTCACTCACCCAAGTCCAGCATATGGGTTCCTGAGTGGCAGGTGGCTTTCCTCCAAATGGCGATTCAGGAACCTGGCTCCTTCAACCCCCGTGGCTTCGCTATATTCAACAAGTGATTTCCAAGGTCCCTCCTGATCATCAGCATCAAAATGGAAGAAAGAAAGAGTCCGGCGTTTGAACACAGAAGGTTGTGTGTCAGGCCTAGAAGTGCCAAGCATGTCTGCCACTCATTTTCCACTGGCCGAAGCTCAGTACATGGCTGTCCAATTATGAGAGGCCTAGAGAGGATGTGTTTAGAAGGATAAAGGAAAGGGTTGGGAGCAGAACTGGTCAGTGGCTACCTCAAGGAGTGGGTATGAAAGCACAGGCTCAAATTCAGAGCTGTCCCATTCTCTACCCAAGACCTCTAGTTCATGGTCTACACCGTGTATTTAATGTGTGCATCAAATAACAAGATTCAACTCTGTGAGTTCAGGGGGCAAAACAGAGAGAGCAAGAACAATTTGAGTAATGTGGTTAAGTTCAGCCCATGATCCCACCAACAGTGTATCTGCTCTGAAAAGAACGTAAGTTGGGAAATATGAGCTGCTGCTGCCTCAGTTTATCTCAATGAGTACTTGCCCATAATATAAGCACCTCATTGCACATGATTCTGTGATTCTAGCACTTAAGGACACACATTTTCCTATCCCTCAGCTCCTATTTATTACACGTATGCACACACATATATGTACATTTCATCATAAATATTACTAGGACAGGATTATATAAACAAAAATATGCATTCTATGACTTACAGTCCCTTTTAGAAATCTCAAGGGTTATTTTGATTATGTACCCTGTATGCTTTATCCACTGAATTTAGAACCTGTCCCCACGTATCCCAAATCTCCACTCTACCCAGACTGTAGATCTCTCTCCCCACTCACACCTCTGTGAATTTCTCTCTGCTGCATGTGAGTTTTATAGTGTCAGTACACACCCTCCGGGAATACAGACAGTGGAACTTTTTGCATCACTATGTAAATCTGCAGATTCACTACTCAATAAGTATTGACCTGTTGACTTCACCTTTTTTCCACCTTGTAGGCATTTCCAGTAATCCAGGAATTTGAAGAAAGAATATGTCTCATGAAGATAACTTTTCCCTAAATGAATAATTTGGGGGACTCATGTAAAAATGGGCTGATGAATGTTATTTCGAGATTCAAAAATGTTTAAAATTTAAAAATATATATATGACATCTTCTTTTTCCATCCATCTGT